TCACAAAAAAGCAAAGTCGTTCTGAGCGCACGCACAGGTTTCAAAATTGTTTCCCGGTCCTGTGCAGTACCGTTGCAATGTCGTCAGTTGCATCGTTCGCTTGTGGCATTTGGAGGCTAGCTTCATGATCTGGCCAATCCAGGTTTCATCCATCCATGTGCTCGAGCAGAGCGGGTTCCGGATCTTTTCACACGCATGTATGAAGTGCGTCAGCAAATGAAATTTCGGTCGCACATTGAAAAGCAAATATGGGCAGAATCTCTTGTACTTCACAGCCAAGTGGAGGTAGCACTTTTGGAAAAATCCTCCCACTGCCAGGACTTGTTGAATGATTTCCGATGTCAGGAGTGTGCTCTGCTTTCGGTGTTCCTGCAAGATGCTGAGAAAGTTATTGGCGCTCCACAGAGCACTTTTCAGCAGGGGGTCGATGTTTGCTTTGTCTTCTGCGAAATCAATGAGAAATTGCAACACAACTGTAGTGTGCCACCCCTTGCCATGGAGATGACAAAATTTTCCTGTTTTCAGCCCAAGCTTGCCACGAGTTAAACACCAGTGAGCAGGAAGGCTTTGGGCTCCATGCGTTTTGGACCACTCCCGGATGAGCCTTGAAGCATTCCTCATCCGGGCTTCAACCTTGCAGCAGGCACACGCATGCATGGACAACGTGAAAACTGCATGGACAAACAAGCAATCAGGAAGTGCAGCCCAGCTGCATTTCTTCCTTCAAAAGCACCGGTCCTCAACAGGATGAGTAAAGCGCTACTTGTCAGGTCACGGCCAGTGCCAAGATTCCAAATATGCAAGACATCCAAACCCACTGTCGCCATGGAAAAATTGCCAAGCTCCACTATTGCAGGTGGACTGCTCGCTGGCCATGGGCAAGTTGGTACTGATCTCCGCCATTCAGCATTTTCAGACAGATCTGTTGCTGGCATTGCAAGGCTTTTTGTGCAGTTGCACAAGAAACAAAAATCGTCTTTGGTTGGCTTTCTCTTCAAGTTCAAGCACTGTACCAGCCATTTCCAGTCTCCCTTCAGGGAAACAAACCGGGCATGTAAGCCTCCAATAGCGTGATTTTGCCATGCATTCAGCGAGGCACAAATGTGTTTCATCGCTTCTTGTATTGTCACATTAATTTGGCCATCCATGGCATACCTATGCACGGGAAGCAAGCAGATCAAGAAGCGGCTCTTCTTGACATCAGTCCAGAAAGGTGATTGTTCTGATGACCACTGCACAGCCATGTACTGATTATCTTTGTAGATTTCTGCCTCATCTCCGAACAAACAAAGCCCAACGGAATCTTCATGTGGCGGGGGGGCTGCAATACCGTATTCTCTGCTCATGGTCTCCCAATACTCTTGTGTTGCAGTGCCAAAGACCTCTGCATAGCCACTTGAGATCAATTCTTCTGCCTGCAGGCATGCACGCAATGTAAATTCCAAAATCACAAGCCGTACTGTGTGAAATAGTATCTGCAAACTCTGCATTATATAAGGGCATGACCAGGAGGTGTGGAAGCATCATTGGCCAGTCCACTAGTTCTACCTCTCCAGAAGAAGCATTGGTCATGGGAAGCTGAACATATTGAATTGCATTTTTCACAGTGAGATCATGCCGTGCGAGTAATCGGTAGGCTTTGTTGTCCCTGTCTGCTTTTCCCCTGCAGCGTTGACATATAAGTATTCAACATGCAGGTAGATGAGACGCATGGCTCAGTGCATGTAAAAACATGCATGGCTGCACTTCCACAGGGTCGACTGGTACGTCTTCCCCAAGCGTACTGCCAACGAGAGATGCGCTTCACCTCTCCCCACTTCAGCAGCGATCCTGATGAACCATGGTAAAAACTATGCAAGCGCATGCAAGAAGTGACAGTCGACATCAGCATGTGCCGGCCTCTGGTCCAGATCTGTTCGAAGCTCATCTGTTGTACCTGCATGCAGGCATGCATACTTTCCATAGAAAATTGTGATGCACTCTGTTAGAAAGCAATTGAGGTGCAAGCGCGGGCTAGACTCATTTTGTTCTCTTGTTCAAGCTTCAGGGAAACTTCCAAAATTCGAATGCAAATAGCGCATTCTGCACATCGCGCCGCAACTGACATTTGACTCTTCGACATGATCCCCTTAGTGGCGGTATTATCCATGATGTATGAATTCAAACCGCGTATGCTATAAGTGACGAACTATTTTTCCAGCCACAGGCATGTGCACGAGACCTGCACGATACAAAGAGGATGTTCCTGCATATGCCTGTATATATCTGTGTGTTTACATGCAGACATATATGGCCGGATCCTGCCTGCAGGTCTATAGATCTATGCCGTCGAGTAGCCCCTGCATTTGCATGCACATATTTGCCAGTACATTTTTTGCCTGCAAGCTGCTAATGTAATGCAGCCAAGGTTCTTCTTCACCTCCTTCAGCACTGCTCCAGCTTTGGCTCGTTCAAAGCGACTTTCGGCGACCTTGCAGGCAAAACATGCTTATATTTCAAAACATGTGAGAAATTAAATATTATATATATATGTCTGTATCAACATGCTTGCAGAATTACAACTCAATGCAGCAAGGGCACAGCTGCAGTGACAGATGCTCGCAATTGCTCAAATCCAGCGTCATCGGTGGCTACTTCAGTCCTGCACAATTGCGAAAAAATCCGAATGAGAAAATGAATGGACAACATGCATGCACATCATGATCCTTGTGTACCACGTGGTAAGCTTCTGGATGTGCTTGTCCATGGACACCTCTGCTTCTTTCAAGACAGGTTTGCCTTGCACTTCCAACTTCATGGACTGGAGCTGGCCAGCTCCTTTTTGCATTCCAAACCTGCAGGCATCAAAATGTGTGTGCGTGTGTGATATTTCCATCTGATGTGGATGTAGTGCTTTGCAAATCTGAAGGTGCTGAGGACGCAACGTGCCAGACTGAGCTTCTCATCAACGGTTTTCCCGGCCAGGGCCACATCCGAGAGACCAGCGCCCTTAGAAGTGCTTCCTGCTGCACTCTTTGGCTTGGCTTTCGCTTTGCCTCCTGCATGCATGCAGTGCATGGACATGTGCATGAAAACTTTTCAGACAACCATCGGCCTGCACGGGCATTGCTCGGCTGTTGGCTGGGCGTTGGCGGGGCCACGGCTTGCTGCAGATTCTGCAGTTGGTCACGAACCAGGGCCATGGGATCCGGCGCATGCACGGTGCTGACAGCTGGATCAGCCATGGACATCACTCGAACCGCACTCCGACAATCCAAGTTGGTATGCATGGACATCTCATTTTCCTGCTGCCACAACTCCTTCTCTTCCATCTCCACTGACACCCGGTAGCGAGTGGACTCAGGATCATTTGGAGCATCGGGATCCGGCCGACCCCCACGTGCCACGCATGCCTGGATCTTCGCCCTTATCGGATCGGAGCATGCGCATGCTACGCATGACAGAAAAACATGCACTATATATATATGGAAGTATATATGCATATTCTCTGTATGAATGTCAAGCAAGGCTCGTCGAATACTTCTTGTCATGCATCTCCCGGATCGTGAGCCATTGGCGAGTGTGGTGCGCTGCATCCACCTTGCGACGGGTCACTCTCATAGCCGCCTCCGTTGCCTCCAAGTTCTCCCTGTTTTGGAGGAACTGGTAAAGTGCTCTCCGCTTGTCTTCATTGGATCCATTCCACAGAGCCACCAAATTCGGATGAGCTGTTGCTCTCGGACCGCTGACGACGCGATCCAAGAGATTCCACTGCTTCTTGTTAGTTTTGGACGTCGGCAACTCACTGGCCGGCACATCCTCTGCCTTTGCAGGCTCTCCAGTATTGGGCAGAGCAGCTGGGGCAGCCGCAGGCACTGGCGGGGGCGGCATGGCCAAGGCTTGCGAAGGACCCGCAACTTCACCACCAGGTGCATGTGCAGCTTGCCCAATCTCTCTGTCAATCTCTGCTTCCAAGTCCAGGCTTCGGCTTCGCCTATTTTAAAGAATATTACCTATACACATACATGTAGTAACTTGGTGGGAATATTTTAGACCACTGCACGTAAAGTCATAAAATGTACTACTGTATACCGTTGTAAGAAATTGAGAGATATGTTACGGATTATTGATATAAACTGTACATATTCAAATTAAGAATTTGTCAGTGAACATAATATATATCTTAAAATATATATATATGTATTTTTACACATGACATGCATGTATATGATGGTAAATGCACACCACATGCTTTCAACCACCATGAACACCATGCATGAGAAACAACAAAGTATGAATACATAAGTGCATGAACCTTCATGAACACATGAGCAAAAACACATGAACATGAATGCATGAACATGAACACATGAACGTGAACGCCGCATGTTAGGAATCATGACGACATGAAAACAACGAACCATGAACTATATGAAAGTCATGGAAACATACTAGATATCATGGATCACGAACATGAAAGCCATGAACATAAAGGACATAGCATCGAAAAAACATGAACATGAACGTGAACAAACATGAATGTTTCAACAAATCCTCTCCCACCATGGCGCATGATTAATCCATCATGAACCAAAATACCACGAAAAATCATGAACGACCAACATGTAAAAGAAACATGAACCACCATGACCATGGAAAACATGAACCACAGTGACCATGGAAAACACGAATCAACATGAACATGAAAAACATGGACATGAACAACATGAAACGCATGAACCGAAACAAAAACGTGACACACACACACACACACCGACCATGAAAACACAAACACCATGATTGTAAAACACATGAACCACCATGAACATGAAAGAGATAACACTAAAACACGTGAACATGAGTCACCATGAAAATAAAAACCATGAACCGCCATGAACATGAAAAAGATAACACTAAAACGCGTGATCATGAACCACCATGAACAATAAAAACATGAAACACAACCTGCACATGATAACGCCATGAACCAATATAAGCAAACAAAATCATGAACAACCAGCATTAAAAAAATAAACACCATGATCATGGAAAACATGAACCATCATGACCAGGGAAAACATGGACATGAACAACATGAAGCTCATGAACAGAAAACATGACCATGAACCAAATCAACACCAACCAAAAACATTCTACTACAATGAGACCCCCTCATGGGTGCAAAAAAACAAACTAAGGCCCCAGCTCACAACTAAGTTCCAGACGCATCCTCCTCATCAAGGTCAATCGACCCCAAGTGCACAGTCGACTTGCCCTTCAACAACTGCTGCCCGTAGCGCAAAGTGTCAATGGACCTGCCCAGGTGAAATAGCAAACGCGACACTTGTAACTATAAGTGAACACATTTTCGAGCGCAAACAAAAATCAGCAAATATCAAGGGCCTCTGGGTTCCTTGCTTCTCCAACTTTTTTGTGGGGTCAATCTCTTCTTCGGAACCCATCTCCGAAGGCACAGGTTGGCCCCATGGACTGCGGTCCGGGCTCAAACCTTCTTGGTTGTCAGGCTCCTCTGGGGTGTAGCTTCCAACACTGCAGGCTTCACTTTTGGATTCCTTCACCTCCTCCTTCAGTTTTTCCGGTTTCATCTCTGCAGTCTTCTCTGGAGTCGTTGTCTCTTCATCTAGCTGGGTGTCACCCGGCTCTGCAGATGCTTCAAGCTCTTGTGGTGGGTCTGCGGGCATGGAACTGGCCTTTATTTTCTTGAGCAAGGGTTTACATTCCCGCAGTAACTCCTTGGCTTCATCCAGGTCAAGCCCCGTCGCATCCCTCACTCGCTTTGCAGCTGGCACACGGTGGTTGTTCTGCTCATACAGTTCCTGCACCACGCCAAGCAGCAAGGCCTTTGCTCCGTCCATCAGGTGGTTTCAAGGCCACACAGGCCACAAACAGCAGATCTACAAATTTTGAGCCAAAAACACTTGAAACTGCAATTTTGGGACCCTACAAAAATCTGTCACTGGCGGTCCCGGGTGGTCCTGCCGGTTCCCGGGGTGGTCCCGCCGAAATCCCGGGTTGGTCCCGGGTCATTTTTTGACAGGGAGTTGCCGGCCATGAACTGCGCTAAGACATGATGATTGCACAGATTTGAGGTGAGGCACTTTTTCGACGCTGCTGGCTGCTAGTCGCTCCATGACACCGAATTGGCAGCTACTTTGGCAAAAGCATCATCGAGCAGTGGCCTCCATGTATCTGAGGGCTTAAAGTTCGAACTGCGCCTTAAGTAGCGAATTGTCTCCACTGCGTTCGCCTCAGTCGAAAATTACCAGGAAACATATATATAAGCAGAAGGGCTCGCCAATCTAGGTGCCTGACATCGTCCCAGACATCAACCATTGACCAGTCGATTTCCTCTCTCCAGAAAAAGTCACAAAGATCAAAATGAAAAAGTTGCCATGCAATCCTTGAAAAGCTCCACGTCCGTTTTCCCAGCATCTAAGCCCGGCAAAGCTGGTGGTTCTGGACGGGCCTGGCCCGCAGTCAAGCAACAAAAAAACAACACCAAAGTCACCAGTCAACAGGCTGCCTTCCAGTTTGCCTCTCCCATCTCTTTCTTCAGCGTGGCAAGGTGAATACCAAAGCGTTGATGGTATGTCCTTGGCACCAAATTCAAATTGAACTTTCCAAAAACAGCTGCTTGGCAGCCACATCACGATTTCCACAAGAAATCATGTTTCAAGTTTGCTTGTTTCATGGTTTCATGTTTCATGATGGTTTCATGGTTCACGTTTCATGGTGCACATGTATGTTTATATATATATAATTATATAATAATATTTTACTGATTATCATGCATGATTTACCATGTGGTTCCTATTTGGTCAAATGTTCCAAACGTTTCTTGCATGCGTGCGGAAACTTCCAACCCAAAAACTCTTCCAAGGTCCCAGCTGGCTATTGGTCATCACTCCTGGAACACCGCTCCAGGATTCGCCTCCACCTTCTCGCTTTTGCCTTTTCACTAGTGGCTCACCAGTAAAGGAAGCCAGGTCTACTTTTGTCATATGACCTGCTGCCAAAGAAAGCTCCCGCAAAAGATTCTCGTCATTGGAGTAAAGGACATGACGCTTAGGCGTTGCTTGGCTTCTGTCTGAAGCATACAGGCCACCCCAAATCCCACATTTGAAGATTTGAAGTGCAGCCAATATAAGTGCCATCCTGGGGTGCAGCTCACACAAGCTGCCATGTGGCTGCTCCAACAGAAACACACAGCCCATGGCTAGGCTGTACCACATCACCAGCGAAAATCTTGAAGCGAGGCGATTTCCGTTCTTCACGAAGCCATATTTCTTGTTGCCGCAGGGAAACAAGATGCTACGTTGGTGAGTGCCCGCACTCCTGAGCTGAGCTTGCCCCAGTAAGTTGCGTGATGCTGATATCTCATGCAACAGATGATCGGACTAGTGATTTTGCATGATACATGCATGGCAAGAATCGGAACACAGAACGAAGTGCAGCACAGCCCGATGAGGTGCAGGGCACCAGGCTTGGATCTTCGAACGGTTTGCATGCACAACCTCAGCATATGATAATACTTAAGGTGCATGGTGCAGACTTGACATGTTGCAGGATCTGTGAGGGCAGGACGCAAAGCCACCTTCTGTCAAAAAGTCAAAGGCTTTGGGGCCACCCTCGAGGAGCTTGTCCAATTCAACACCACAGTAGTTTGCCTCATGAAATCTCCGTGCCCTAAACCAATTTGCAGGAACAACAGCTCTGCAAGCCAGCACCCGCCTTTCTCATTTCGGCACTGACTTTGCCTTCGCCACTGAAATATTCCACCCAGTCATAGACCTGCTGCATGCGTGCTGCAAGCCCTAGAAATTAAAGTAGTGAATTCGCTTCTGCTTCCACTTAAAGGCATGTGTGTTTGCAGATCAAGGAGAGACATGGCCTGATCTCCTTTCAAGCTCACATTGCAGACCAAATGGAGATGGAGCAGAATTAGAATGGGAGGCGCATGGCACCGAAGCATGTCATAGACCCCCATGGTCTATATGTATAGAAGTGAAACCTAGTTTGCCTTGAGCCCAGACCCTATGGGAATAAACACTTGGATGCCACCCGCCAAAACATGCACATGCATGCACGTGCATAGCCGGCATTCTCTTTTTCACACCACTTGACCTTGCATGTCAAGTGATCCCCAGGCCCCTAGACGTGATGATCCAGCTTAGAATCATCCACATGAACATCAAAGCCATGAATCCATTGAATCCACGGAATATATATAATTAAGCAAATCTTCGTTTCTTCAGCTCACTCAGCGGCACAGTCTTCAAAAGGTCCGCCCGCTCATCAGAGCGCATCCATGCCTCATTCGCCTTCTTGAAGTTGACGTTGCTTTCCTCTCGGAAATTCTTGATGAACTCCAGCCTCTTTCTGTTGAAGTCCCCAGCCACGTAACCGACTGCATGGTCAGCTGCTGGAGCCGCTGCCCCGGCTGCTGCAGGAGCAGCCTCATGCCCAGCAGCTAGATCTGACGGCGCCTGCTGTGGCAGTAACGCTAAGCCTTCTTCTTCTTCAGGTCCGGCAATGACAACCTTGCCCTTGCCCTTCTTTTGGTTTTTCTTTCCTTTCTTATTCTTCTTTTTGTCACCTGCTTTCTTAACTGCAGGGTTGCCAGTTGGCTCCACATCGTCCGATGTCACAGTCGCAAATGGGGCTGGTGCTTGGACCTCTTCCAAGGCTGTGAGAACAAATTCCGGCAACTTGTTCCGGCATGGTGTAGCTATTGGAGCAGCTTTGACAGCTGCCATTCTCACAGGCGGCTGCACATCATCCAGTGGAGCAGGGACCTCTGCCTCAGGCATTGCTGACTTCTTGTGAGCTTGCATCTTAGCAGCCATGGCCACCCAATCGATTCCGTTCTTTGCAGGCTTGGAATCGTGATCGGGACCAGCCAAAGCATTTCCCAATTCTTCCACTTGGTCAGCGGCACTATCCATTGAATCAGCATGGCCACTGGCAGAGCTGTCTGCAGACATCTCAATGTTCATTTCCTTGAGCCGCTGCTTCAGATGGGTCAAACCCTTGAGCTTCGCTGCATCAGGTGATTCTTTCCAGCGGCGTCGAAATCGCGAGACCATCTTTCTCAATCCAAATGCCATTTTGCCAGCCAGCTGCTCAACAGCAGACATGCCTATGCCAAGCGGAATGAGCTTACTGACTTCGTAGTGCTTGGCAATGGCACGGGCCAAGACCATCTCTGAAAGCCGCTCATGCGGACTCACACTCATCACAGCAAAAATTGCCTGCAAGCAGATCAGGTATATACAGCTCAGCCATGCAATGAAACCATGGTTGCGAAAGGACGCCGCATCTGCATGCAGAAATGAGAACAATGTGCCCATGCACCTCAGGGTTCAAGTCGCAATCCCGGAGAGTCGCTTCATCTTTACCAAACAGGCCCTTGCTGTGGGCAGTGATGAAAGTAAAGCCAACCTGCGAGATCAAGATTAATAGAATGACCAGCAAACATGTTTATAGGATGTTGCATGTCTGCCCAAATGCGAAATGCAGGTATGTGTGTGTGTGTGCGCGTGTGCCTTCTTCAATTTTTCTTCTTTCCCAAATGCTGTCACATACTGCTCCACCAAATCCGGGTTTTTGGCAAGCTGCTTCAAGTCACGAGGCATGGCGCTAACGAAAATTTCCAACCAAATGCTGCCAAAGGGTTGATGCATGGTCCATGCGAGGGGCTCACACAGCCCCACCCCTGCAGAAAGAACAGCACACCGACAGAAAAAAAAGCAAAGGTCACGGGAAGAAGTGCTTGTATGCCACCAGCGATGTCGATGCGCCATGCATGGGGCCTGGCTAGACATATATATGGTGATACATGTCAACCCCATGAGAATCAAAAATTGTGGGGAAGAACGTGAACATGAACCACCATGAGAATGTTAAGAAACTGAATCATGGACATGAAAAAAGAGCCACCATGGCAAAAACCATGAACTGCTATGAACATGTAAAAACATGTCAAAAACATGAACCACCATGACCATGAACAACATGAACCGCCATGACCATGGAAAACATGAACCACCATGAACACGAGGGAAACAACATGGACATGATTTACAGCATGAACATGTGAACATCACTTAAAAACATGAAAACCACATGAACCACCATGCACATGGAAACACCATGAACCGGTTAAAAAACCCAAACCGCCATGAACATGAAAAAAATAGAAACACATGAATATGAACCACCACAAGAATGTTAACATATGAACCACCAGGACGTGTAAAAACATGAACCACCATGACAAATAATAAAACAATGACCAACTATACACATGTAAAAACAAAACAGCAAAGGACATGTTTAAAACACATGAACCACCATGACCATGGAAACCATGAACCACCATGACCATGGAAAACATGAACCTCCTTGAACATGGACAAACACCAGCGTACATGATTTGAAGCATGAACATGTAGAAAACAAACATGAACATGAGAAAACACACGAACCACCATGAACATGCATGAACCGCCATGTTCATGGAAAAATCATAATCATGGGAAAACATGAACCACCATGTACATGCATGGAATTTCATGACATGACATGACATGTCACAGCTGGGGTCCCGACTATACTGCGCTGAGATCCGGGCCAGAAAAGTTCAACCTGGGCAGCAGCAACACTTCATCCAGCAGTAGTGCAAAAAAGTCACCACAGCAACAGCTAATTTAAAGAAGGCACACAGCAGCAACTACTAAGCTCACCGCTCAGAGCCACCATGAGTCCAACCTGGGCGGCATCAGCATGAAACATTCCAATGTTTTAATGGACAGCTGTGCACAACAATCTGCACATGCACTGGGCAAATTCACTTGCATGCAGTGTCTCGCATTTTGTCCTTTCAAACTTTTCCAGTGCAGCCCTTCACGGGTCCATCTCAGCTAGTACTCCTCTGTGAAGGTCATGGTCCAGGTTCGCTTCCTCGAAAATGAGAGCCATGCAATACCATTGAACTGGCATGCATCAACATGCATATTTTGTTTGAGCTTAGACCCACACTTAGGCAGAACCGGTGGAGGAGGTGGCAAGATGTCACCGAAGCCAGGCATCCTGCCATGGAGGACAAATGCATCAACCAAAAAAAACAAGTCTAATGCAGATGCAGTCCTCATGATCGACTCGCCCTTCACAGCTGGCGGCGCGGCCGTTGCTCGGGGGCTCGACCTGGGAAAAAAAAACTCAAACCACTAGTTGGAACAACATTGCAGCAACTTAAGCATAGATATGCATGAGGCCCCAACGTCTGCAACTGCAGTCCAGATGAGCTGGCTGCCGCTGCTTTGTTGATTGCCTTCGGTGGCGGTGGGCCACGCAGTCCCGAACCCGGCCCACAAGGCCCTTCACCAGCCATCTTCTGCAAAGGCTTCGCAGACTTGTTGACCTTCACGAGATTGGGACGTGGCTGTACCTCATGGGGAGCACGACCAGAAAACCAATGCAGAATCTACAAACAAGAAAACCGGAACAAAGAATGCAGAATCTACAGATGAAAATGCTGAAGCCCCCAACTGGCATCTTCTTCTTCTCGATCGGCTTGACGGCCGGTGCTGCTTTGCACTGGCTTTCCATGAGGACCACAGTAACGTCTTCCTCAGGCGTTTCACTCTCCCTTTTCCCGGGAGGCGTCAAAGCCTTCGACACGGCACCTTTGCTAGATGCCTGCGGCGAGAATTTGCAGAAAAAAAACCATGCAACTCACATACTCAGCACTACTGTGTGTTTGGCACCTTTGCATTCTGCACCGTGTTGCTCACAGAAGCCTCATGAAAATCCAAAAACGGAAGAAACAAAACACAAAAACACTCATGCAAAATGTGCCCTGCACATGTTGAGTGTCCCACCATCATGCTTTGAAAGTGGGCCAGCACCATGTCGTGAAACCACAGGTTGCAGTCGCAAGTTTGCATGCATGTCTTTGAGCCAGGCACGTGTCAGCCAGAAAATAAAGCGCAACATGCAAGAGTCACTTGCCAAACATTGCAACGAAAATTCAGCAGCTTCCCGTCATCTCTTCTGTTATCTCTCAGCATCTGGCCCCAAAAATCAATGGAGCATCTGGCCCCAAAAAGAAACGGACGTGAAAGTTCAGTTCAAGGGGTTTGAGCTTTGCTTAGCAGCCACAGATCGCAGTCTGGAGATTCCACATGGCCATGCATGAAACAGCACAAAAAAATATGTTTCTTCCATGACTGGTCATGTCCATGGTAAACATTGTAAGAACAATCCAGTGTTGACCAAAACAATATGACATGTGAGCGACATGAAAAACAAGTGGAAACAACAAAAGAATGCATCACCCTACATGTCATGAAAACATTCCATGTGATACTTGCAGCCGAAGAAGACACATAGGTCCTATAGGTCTAATTATGAAAACTTGTCTGCGGACACATGACAGTTATCAAATACAGCTCCCATTGCAACAGCGATGTGCACAACAAAACACCGTTTTCTGGAAA